AAGTCGATTAAATTGACTTCAAGTGTACTTGTTTTTTTTAATACTTGAAAATTACTGGAAAGCTAAGGAAACTGGTTGAGATATTTAGACATAGGAAGGTGATATCCTGGATAGCAAATTGAAAGTGATGATTGGAGGGGCACCTGGGTGGTTCAGTTGGTTAAGCATCTTGTTCTTGACTTCCGCTCAGGTCATGATCTCACAGTTAGTGAGTTTGAACCCTACATTGGGCTCTGCACTAACAGCACAGGAAGCCTGCTTGGGATGCGCTCTCTTGCTCTCTCTCTCTCTGCTTCTCTCCCTCTCATGTGCACATGTTCTCTCTCTCTCTCTCTCTCTCTCTTTCTCTTTCTCTCTGCTCCTCTCCCTCTCATATGCACATGTGCTTTCTCTCTCTCAAAATAAATAAACTTAAAAAAATTAAAAACAAAGAAAGTGATGATTGGAGCAAAATAATTAAGCCCCTTCTTGTTTTAATTCTCCACCAAGTAACTTAAATGATGGTATTAATGGAGAAGAGAGATTTGACGTGAAATTTATTGCCTTTTAGAAGTAGTTTGCTCTGTGGACAAGGTATGTGAAAGCTTAATGCTCCAGGTGGTATAGATAGGGATTCTCTGAACTAAAGGGAGACTAGATAAAACTTCTTCCTTTCCTCTTAAAAAAAAATCACAAACTTGGGGGGAAGGATGGGGAGATGTAGGTCAGAGGGTACAAGCTTTAGTTATAAGCTGCATAAGTCCTCTGGGTCTAGTGTACAGCATGATGATTATAGTTAATAATACTGTATTGTAGGGGCGCCTGGGTGGCTCATTCAGTTGAGTGTCTAACTCTTGATTTCGGCTCAGGTCATGACCTCATGGTTCATGGGTTGGAAGCCAGGTGTTAGGCTCTGTGCTGCAGTGTGGAGCCTACTTAGGATTCTCTCTTTCACACTTCCTCAAAATAAATTTTAAAAATTTAAAAATAATAATATTGTATACCTGAGATATGCTAAGATCTTAAATGTTCTTACCACACACACAAAAAAACGGTAACTACATGAGGTGATAGATGTGTAAATTAACTTGATTGTGGTAATCATTTCACAATGTATACATATATTAACTCATTACATTGTATGCCTTTAAGAGAACACATCACATGATACAACCTAAATATACCCAATTGTTATTTTTTAAGTTTATTTGTTTTGAGAGAGGTTAAGTTTGTTTATTTTGAGAGAGGGAGCACAGGAGCACATACACACATGTGAATGAATGGGGGAGGGACAGAGAGAGGGAGAGAGAGAATCCTAAGGAGGCTCCACACTGTGAGCATAGAGCCTGGACTTGGGGCTCAATTTCACGAAATGTGAGATTATGACCTGAGCTGAAATCAAGAGTCAGATGCTTATCTGACTAAGCCACCCTGGTGCCCCACAATTTTTATTTTTATTTGTCAGCCATAATTCTGTAAAACTGGAGAATAACTTTTTCCTCTTGATCATAACACTAACATATATGCATATTGTAAAGAATTTTAAAACTTCTGAAAAGTACAGATAATAAACCTCAATGCAGTCCATCACACCATCCCAAACAAGAACAGCAGCCTTCAGGTATATTCTTACAGGCTTCCTTGTGCCCTTTTACGTTGCTTATTGCCTTTTCCTTCTTCCAAAGCTGAGATCATACTCCTAAAATTTTTGTGGCCTGCAGTTAAGAGATTGCCTAGAGCAGAAATTGTAACGTAAAAATATTCACTGATGAAGTGACCACTCAACGTTTCTGCTTTTTCTTTTAGAGCTTGAATGTATTCACACATTTAACCACTGTTTCTGTCCCTGTGCCTGGGGACTATTATAATGTGAGTAGATTGGGAAGTTATTTCTTGAGGTTAGTGAAGGATGCTGGAGATCTTTGTGATCACTGACAAATCTGTCTAGGTTGGACCAGTTGAAAAACTGATGATGAAAGAAATCAGTAGAGATGATGGTAGGATAGGCACTTTAAAGAATGATTGGACATGACATCCTATTAACGTAAGCTTTATGGAACATGGATAAAGCTCCCATGGAGTATTGCCACCATTATAATGCCATGTAAGTCAGGATGAAATGAAGGATGTTATGTGCTGTCGTATATTATTCTGATGGAAAAATCACTGCACCCTCCTCCACAAAAACCCCACTATTTTAATTCATTATTTGATGAATCAAAAAATTTGTAGGCGTAAAGGTTGCCTAAATGTTGTTAAGCTGCCAAGGTATGTTTTCTTTCTTGTATTTATAGGGTACCTTTTTAGTATAAATTTTCTATCAAATTTCTGTTTCCTATTATGACTATGAATGCTTATGAATATGAATACTTAATAGCCTTCTACTATTGGTGATAACAGAGAACACCTGTATTTAAGTTTTTTTTTTAATTCTCTAAATTCTTTTATATCTGTTATAATAAGCACAGTAATTCCCCTTATCTGTGGTTTCATCTGCAGTTTCAGTTACCCGAGATCAACTTCACTCTGGAAGCAGATGATCCTCTTTCTGACATACTGTCAGAAGGTCAGTGGTGGCCTAATGCTGCTGCCTGTGTCATTCATCTCCCTCTATCTTATCACGTAGTCATTTTATCACCTCACATCATCACAAGAAGAAGAGTGGGTTATGGTACCATAAGATATCTTGAGAAAGAGAGAGGTCACATTCACATACCTTTTATTACAGTGTATTGTTATAATTGTTGTTTTCTCATTAGTTATTTTTAAACCCTTAATGTGCCTAATTTATAAGTTAATCATAAGTATGTATATATAGGAAAAACATAGTGTACATAGGCTTTTGTACTCTCTGTGATTCAGGCATCCACTGCCATCTTACTACATATCCCCCTGCAGATAAATGGGGTCAACCATAGTAACCAGATAACAACATTTTTTCTAGTGAGTAAGCATATGCCAGTATGCCAGTAAAGCCAGTTTTATCTGAAATTAAGTACACATTTTAAAAACCTATAACTACAAGTTATATTAAAAAATTTCTTTAACCTTTTTTATGTCTAAATGTCAGTCCAATATAGAAGGCACCCCTTCTGTCTCTCCTGGAATTAAGGCCAAATTTCTTACCTTCTTCTCACTCTGATATAGTGATGACTAGGGATCATTAGATTGGGGTATGCAAAAAATCTTTGCTAATCTGCTGAAATGGGTTTTTAATTATATACTTTTATTCTTTTAATTATCATAGTTGTCATATAAAAAAATGTAGCCTCTTTGTGCTATATTCCCATTCTCTGAGATCCTAATTTTTACCATGCACATGAGTCATCTGAAGATCTTGTTAAAGTGTGTGTTCCGATTCAGTAGGCTAGGTGGGGGGCCAAGTTCTGCATCTGAAACAAGCTCACATGCAAAGTCAGTGCTGCTACCCTTTGGACCACAGTTTGAATTGCAAGGCTTTCAAGAACAGTTTTGGGAACAGAAGCCAGGCAAATCCTATAGAAGCCATTTCTTGTTATGCTAACTTTAAGTCACTTGCCTAGTTTTTTAGTAATACATATTTTTCCATTGGGGATATATATGTTGTGTTATAACTTGAAGTGTGTTTTCTTTAGTTTTTGTGTTGAGCATATTATCTACAGCTGTGACATTTACAGAGAATGAACATACCGATGATGATGATCATGAGGATGATGTAATAATTGACAAGTATTGACTACTTATTTATACTTTATAAAGATTGACTAAATTTTCTCAAAAAAACCCATGAAGTAGACATTATTGTTACCCCATTTAAGAATAAGGAGGCTTGGGGCGCTTGGGTGTCTCAGTCAGTTAAGCGTCTCACTTTGGCTCAGGTCATGATCTCACAGTTCGTGGGTTCAAGCCTCGTGTTGGGCTCTGTGCTGACAGCTCAGAGCCTGGAGCCTGTTTCAGATTCTGTATCTCTCTCTCTGACCCTCCCCTGTTCATGCTCGTGCTTGCTCGCTCTCTCTCTCTCTCTCAGAAATAAATTAAAAAAACATTAACAAAATAAAAATGAGGAGGCTTAGTAATAAGTTAGTGACTTGCCCATGGCCTTACAGCCAGAAGGTGGATAGAGCCAAGGCGTCAATGCAAGTAGTCTGACTCTAGTGCTTGGTAGTTTTAATATCTATCCTTACTAGTCAGAGAGTAGGAAACTAGACTTAATAGCATGGATTCTCTAGCTTCTGTCTTAGTTCCTATAAGATATATTTGCATTTTCTAGCTGCTTTCCCAAAAGACCTTTCATAGATCCTTTTCTGTCCTTAACATTTTCCTTGTGGCTTTTTTGAGATACTAAGCGTCTGATTCATTACTAGTTTTTTTAGTCTTCTTTTCTGTATATCTGTGTTTAGAAAAGATCTCAACTTTCATATTCTTTTGATGTGAAAATTTATAAAGAATGAAAAGTAGGTTATATCCTGCCCTGAATGAAAGATAAAAATGTTTTTAGTAATGTTGAAACTGTTTTCTATGAAAGACTAGCCCAGGAAAACTTCAGATTTTATAAGATTGTCACGGAAGAATGGTGGATTATTTTGTGTGTTCTTTAAAAATTGGGGCTATTTTTTTCTTTATCCAAGTGGCAGTTATAATTTAGTGATTAATCTGGAGGCCTGCCTTCTGATCTGACTTCTGTTGCCAAACCACCAAATGGTCTTTTGAGAAGCCAAGGAGCCCTCTGCCTTATCTCCTCAGCCTGTCAGATGGCGGCACTGTATGCACTACCTTTATCCTTCAGCATGTGAAGGAGAAACAAACACGGAAAGAGCATTTTTAAGTACAGAGATGTTTGTAAAACTTTGTGACAACGAGTGAAAGATGTTTAGGATTAGGTGTGGTACCTCAGTTGCAGTTTCATTTGGAAATCAATAAACACAGAACAAGTCATGATCAATAAGAGTATAACTGGCTTATTACTCATCTCAAACTAATGCAAGGCTTTTTATTTTCATTATCTGTGTGTGTGTGTGTGTATGTTGTTGTTTTTTTTACAGTCCATCAATATTATGGAACTGACTTTACAGAAATATGGAAGTTATGAAAAATTTGAGCAGGCCACCGGTGGCAGCCTGCTATCTAAAACTCGAATCTGGAGTCACGTTAGGAAGTACATGATGAAAGAAGGCTGCATGGGCGAGGTATGAATCGGGATGATGTGAGATGATGACTGCTGGCATTTTAACTCCCAGTGCTATATGGTTTTCTCTGCAGGTTTTGTTTTCCCATCCCCAATCTGCCCATGAAATTAGGCACCCGGAAGTCTCGCTAAATACTCTAAAGTTTCTGTTGCATTGAATTACTGTGCTCAATTTGTGTTTCTCTTTATTTACTACCATTTCTGTGTAGTTTATGGGATTATCAGAATTGTTTCATGAAAATTCTTAATGAAGAGAATTAAGTGCCTCCTCTTATTAGTAGCCGGTTCAAAATAAGCTTTGGCCCAACAGCGAACAGGACTCTGACTTCTATACCTTCCTTTGCATCATTGTAATCAGGGGGGACTGTATTTGAGAGCACAGCCCTCTACTGTCCTTCAATCCAGGAAAGGTTCTTGAGTTTTCCCCGGCTCAAAAGGGGAAGGGTCAGAAGTCATTGACCCTGCATTTCATCTTCTAGGTTTCTGGGAAACTTGAATTGGTATAAGCAAAATAAAAACATCTGATTTACGGGTGTGGTTTCCTGTGAAGGTTGCCTCTGCCCAGCCTTTATGTTTTGTTTTATATATTTATATTCTTCCTCTTGCTCCTTAGATTGTGGTTCATCTCACTGAAGACCTGCTTTCCCGAGCTTCAATGACAGTGGTAAATGGATGTCCAACGCTGACCATCAATGTTTCCACTGCACGTGAGCACTGGCTGGAGGGCATGCTGAGGCATGAAATAGGTAGGGTGGCCCTTCTCCATTTGTTCATTTGTACTATCAGAAATCAGCATGAAAAAAACATTCTTTTATAAATGGTTTTTTTTTCTTAGCAGTATTTGGCAGAAAGTAATGAAATTATTACATTTCACCTGAGCTAAGATATTAATGTCTCATTTCAAATTAGATTTTTTAGGGCACTGTGTAGCTGTATTAAGAACAGATAGTCATTTAACTCCTCTGGATTTCAGTCCCCCCTTCTGAAACTGAGGGAAATTGAACTAAGTGCTCTCTCAGATTTTTTTCCAAACATCAAGCCTATGATTCTTCCCTTTACCTCTCCTAATGACACATGTAGTCCTTCTGAAGGCAGGTACAAAGGGCTCTAGGGTCAGGCCATTTTCCACTTTGTTTTGATTTGTAGATATACATCAGTTTAGTTTTAGAACTGTTGGTAGAATCTTTTTTTGGAGAAGAATTAAAATGAGAATGTCATTTCTTGTTTTTCGTGTGCATTTTCTTGTTCATAGGCACACATTATTTTCGAGGTATTAACAACCTTCAGCAGCCATGGAATAGTTGGACTGGTCGTAAAAAACATGAACTAAAGCCAAACAATCCCACAGAGGAAGGACTGGCAAGTATTCACAGTGTCCTTTTTAGAAAAGACCCCTTTTTATGGAGGGCTGCCCTACTCTACTACACAGTTTATCGAGCCAGCCAAATGTCTTTTTGTGAACTCTTCAAAGATATTGGAAAATTTGTCAAGGACCCCAATACAAGATGGGATTATTGTGTACGAGCGAAGAGGGGATGGACTGATACTTCTCAACCAGGTGAGTGTCCCTTGACTGTAGGTTTCCTGACTTCGGTTAGTTGTCTATTGATTTTGGTTACATCCTTCTCTGCCAATCCTAGAATTCACTTATTTACGAAAAATTAAACCTCTGTTACTTGAGGACAGTGCTAGTTTTCCCAAACCACCTTTCGTTAGCATTATTTTCTCAGATCTCATTTTGAAAAATTTCAAACCTACAGAAATATGGCAGTGATAGAATTCACACTCCTATTACCCTTCCTCTAGATACACGAATTGTTAACATTTTGCCAGTTCTGCTTTCTCACTCTGATTGTAAAAACAGGTTTACTGAGATATAATTCACATGGCATACAGTTTGCCCATTAAAAGGTACAGTTCAGTGGTTTTTAGAATATTCATAGTGTTCTGTACCTGTCACTACTGTTTAATTCTGGAACGTTTTCATCACCCCAAAAAGAAACCTTATACCCACTATCAGTCATTCTTCATTCCTTCTACCCCAAGTCCTCAGCTCCTGTTTTGGACATTTCATACAGATGGAATCATATAATACATAACCCTTTGTGTGTGGCTTCTTTCACTTAGTATAATGTTTTTACAATTCATTCGTATGGTAGCATGAATCAGTATTCAATCCTTTTTATTGCCAAATAACGATATATATGTATATGACTTATTTTTCCACTCACCATTAATGGACATTTGATTGTTTCCACACTTTTTGGCTATTATAAATAATGTTGCTATGAAAATTGGGTGCAAGTTTATATTTTTAATTCTCATGGATATATGTTTTTGAGTGGAATCGTTGGATCATATGGTACCTCTCTGTTTAACCTTTTGAGGAACTGCCAGAATGCTCTCCAAAGTGACTACACCATTTTATATTCCCACCAGCAGTATATGGGGGTTCTTATTTTTCTTTTCTTCTCTTTTCTTTTTTTTTAATTTCAGAACTAGAATTTAGTGATTCATCACTTATATGTAGCACCCAGTGTTCATCACAACAAGTGTCTTCCTTAATGCCCCTCACACTTTTAGCCCATCCCCGGCCCCCCAACACCCCTCCAGCAACCCTCAGTTTGTTCTTTGTATTTAAGAGTCTCTTATGGTTTGTCTTCCTCTCTGCTTTTATATTATTCTTGCTTCCCTTCTCTTATGTTCATCTGTTTTGTATCTTAAATTCTGTATATGCATGAAGCCATATGCTATTTGTCTTTCTCTGGCTGATTTTGCTTAGCATAATACACTCTAGTTCCACCCACATTGTTGCAGATGGCAAGATTTAATTCTTTTTGATCACTGAGTAGTATTCTTGTGTGTGTGTGTGTGTGTGTGTGTGTGTGTGTGTGTGTGTGTGTATTTATATATATCCATTCATCAGTCGACGGACATTTAGGCTCTTTCCATGCTTTGGCTATTGTTAATAGTGCTGCTATAAACATTGGGGTGCATATGCCCCTTCAAAACAGCACTCCTATATCCTTTGCATAAATAATGGATCATAGGATAGTTCTATTTTTAATTTTTGGGGGAACCTCCATACTGTTTTCCAAAGTGGCTGCACCAGTTTGCATTCCCACCAGCAGTGCAACAGAGTTCCTTTCTCCACATCCTCGCCAAAATCTGTTCCCTGAGTTGTTCATTTTAGCCATTCTCATAGGTGTGAGGTGGCATCTCATTGTGGTTTTCATTTACCTTGCCTCCAGAGACATGTCAAGTAAGAAGTTGTTGTAGCTGAAGTCAAAGAGGTTGTTCCTTGTGTTCTGTACGATTTTAATGGCTTCCTGTCTTATGTTTAGGTCTTTCATCCATTTCAAATTTGTTTTTATGTATGTTGTAAGAAAGTGGTCCTGGTTCATTCTTCATGTTGCTGTCCAGTTTTCCCATCACTGTTTGCTGAAGAGACTGTCTTTTTTTCCATTATTCTTTCCTGCTTTGCCAAAGCTGTTGGCCATATGTTTGTGGGTCCATTTCTGGGTTCTCTATTCTGTTCCATTGATCTGAGTGTCTATTTTTGTGCAAGTACCATACTGTCTTGATGATTACAGCTTTGTAATACAGCTTGAAGCGCAGAATTGTGATGCCTCCAGCTTTGGTTTTCTTCTTCTGGATTGCTTTGGCTATTCAGGGTCTTTTCTGCTTCCATACACATTTTAGGATTGTTTGTTCTAACTCTGTGAAGAATGCTCGTGTTATTTTGATAGGGAATCTGCATTGAATATGTAGATTGCTTTGGGTACTTTTGACATTTGAACAATATTTGTTCTTCCAATCTGTGAGCATGGAATATTTTTCCATTTTTTGTGTCTTTTTCAATTTCTTTCATAAGCTTTCTATAGTTTTAAGTATATAGATTTTTTGCCTCTTTCGTTAGGTTTATTCCTAGGTATTTTATGGTTTTTGGTTCAGTTGTAGATGGGATTGATTCCTTGATTTCTCTGCTGCTTCATTATTGGTGTATAGAAATGCAGCTGATTTCTGTACTTTGATTTTATATCCTGCGACCTCGCTGAATTCATGTATCAGCTTTAGCAGTTTCTTGGTGGAGTCTTTTGGGTTTTCTACCGAGAGTATCATGTCATCTGCAAAGAGTGAAAGTTTGACCTCCTCCTTGCCTATTTGGATGCCTTTTCTTTCTTTGTGCTGATTGCTGAGGCTAAGGCTTCCAGTATTGTGTTGAACAACAGTGGTGAGAGTGGACATTCCTGTCATGTTCCTGACCTTAGGGGTAAAGCTCTCAGGTTTTCCCCATTGAGAATGTTATTAGCAGTGGATCTTTCATACATGGCTTTTATGATCTTGAGGTATGATCCTTCTATCCCTACTTCCTTGAGGGTTTCTATCAAGAATGGAAGCTGTATTTTGTCAAATACTTTTTCTGCATCTATTGAGAGGATCATATGGTTCTTATCCTTTCTGTTATTAGCATGGTGGATCACATAGATTGGTTTGTGGATATTAAACCAGCTCTACATCCCAGGAATAAGTCCCATCTGGTCATGTTGAATAATTGTTTCAGTGTATTGTTGGATCTGGTTTGCCAGTATCTTGTTGAGAATTTTTGCATCCATGTTCATCAGGGAAATTGGTCTGTAGTTCTCCTTTTCAGTGGGGTCTTTGTCTGGTTTTGGAATCAAGGTAATGGTGGCTTCACAGAATGAGTTTGGAAGTTTTCCATCCATTTCTGCTTTTTGGAACAGCTTCAAAATAATAGGTGTTAACTCTTCTTTAAATGTTTGGTAGAATTCCCCTGGAAAGCCATCTCGCCCTGGACTCCTGTTTTTTGGGAGATTTTTGATTACTAATTCAAATTCCTTACAGTTATGTGTCTATTCAAATTTTCTATTTCTTCTTGTTTCAGTTTTGGTAGTTTATATGTTTCTAGGAATTTGTCCATTTCTTCCAAATCGCCCAAATTGTTGGCATATAATTGCTCATAATCTCTCATCATTGTTTGTATTTCTGAAGTGTTGGTTGTGATCTCTCTTTCATTTGTGGTTTCATTTATTTGGGTCCTTTGCTTTTTCTTTTTGATCACTCTGGCTAGGGATTTACCAATTTTGTTAATTCTTTTGAAGAACCAGTTCCTGATTTCACTGATCTGTTGTTGTTGTTTTTTTTTAATATAACATTGAGGGGCACCTGGGTGGCTTAGTCGGTTAAGCATCCGACTTTCGCTTAGGTCATGATCTCGCGGTTCGTGGGTTCGAGCCCCACATCGGGCTCTGTGCTGACTGCCAGCTCAGAGCCTAGAGCCTGTTTCAGTCTGTGACTCCCTCTCTCTCTGACCCTCCCCTGCTCACGCTGTCTCTCTCTCTCTCCTAGAAATAAATAAAAATATTTAAATAAATAAATAAATAAATATATCATTGATTTCTGCTTTAATCTTTATTATTTCCCTTCTTCTGCTGTTTTGCGGCTTTATTTGCTTTTCTTTTTCCAGCTTTTTTAGGTGTAAGGTTAGATTGTGTATTTGAGACCTTTCTTACTTTAGGAAGGCCTGGATTGCTATATACTTCCCTCTTATAACCACCTTTGCTGCATCCCACAGGTTTGGGGCTGTTGTGTTTTCATTTTCATTGCCTTCCATGTACTTTTTAATTTCCTCTTTAATTTCTGGATTAGGTGTGCCTGGATGGCTCAGTTGGTTAAGTGTTCAACACTTGATTTTGGCTCAGGTCATGGTCTCATGGTTTAGGAGTTCAAGCTCCACGTTCAGGCTCTGTGCTGGCAGTGTGGAGCCTGCTTGGGATTCTCTCTCCCCCGTCTCTCTCTCCGCCCCTCCCCTGCCACTTGCTCTGTCTCAAAATAAATAAACTGCAAAAAATTTCCTGTTTAACCCATTCACTCTTTAGTAGGATGTTCTTTAATCTCCAAGTATTTGTTACCTTTCCAAATTTTTTCTTGTGGATGATTTCAGGTTTCATAGTGCTGTGGTCTGAAAATATGCAAGGTATGAGCCTGATCTTTTTGTACTTGTTGAGGGCTGATTTGTGTCCCAGTATGTGATCTGTTCCAGAGAATGTAGCATATGTACTCGAGAAGAATGTGTATTCTGCTGCTTTAGGATGAAATGTTCTGAATGTATCTGTTAAGTCCATTTGGTCCAGTGTGTCATTCAAAGCCGTTGTTTACTTGTTGATTTTCTGCTTAGATGATCTGTCCATTGCTATAAGTGGGGTGTTGAAGTCACCTACTAGTATGGTACTATTATTAATAAGACTCTTTATGTTTATGTTTAATTGATTTACATATTTGTTTGCTTCCATGTAGGAGGCCTAAATATTTACAACTGTTAGATCTTCTTGGTGGATAAACCCCTTAATTATGCTATAAAGCCATTCTTCATCTCTTGTTACAGTCTTTATTTTAAAATCTAGTTTGTATGATATAACTATGATTACTCCAGCTTCCTTTGACAACCATTAGCATGATAGTTGGTTCTCCATCCCCTTACTTTCAGTCTGCAGTCTTTAGGTCTAAAATGGGACTCTTGTAAGCAGCATATAGATG